AAGCTTCTGCCTTAAAGCCAGGGCCGTTACAGTCGAAGGTTCGGGCTTTAGGGTTCAGGGTTTAGGGCTTTGGGGCTTTGGGGCTTTGGGGCTTTAGGGTTTCGGGTTGAGGGTTTACTGAGCCTGTCCTCCATGCCCCGGCAAGGAATGAGGCTTTGTTACGCATGGCAGCAGAGAAGGTCGGTTGGGAGGCTCCGTTTCAGAGGGTCACAAGCTTAGGGTTTCGTAGAGGTTTGTGTTTCCGGGGTTGGGTTTAGGATTCAACTTTCATTCTCTGATCTTAAGGTTTAGGGTCTTGGAGTCCTGGACTATTGGGTTTCAGGTTAGGGCTGCTGGATTTCGATTCTAAGCTTTCTGAGGCTGGGCACTCAAAGCTGTCAAATCTCAAACCTAATTTTCTACATACCCGTACTACAAACTTTGAGCATACACGTCCAACTCCCAAGTTCCTCCAACCCTAGACCCCAGACCCTAAACAAAAACCCTACGATCCACTGATTTTGATGCTGGGAATGGTTTGGAGCTGGTGTTAGGGCTTTGGAGTCAAAGGACCCCCGCCCCAGAGCACCCCGCCACGACCTGTTTCAGAGCCCCAAACCCTAAACCCTCAACCCTAAACCCTTAAACCCTAAAGCCCTAAACCCTAAACCCTAGAAAGACGATAGAGCCCCAAACCTTAGACCCTCTTGAATCTGGGAACCTTGAAGGGATAGGCACCTTTGAAGCGCCCCCAAGCAGCCCTTGCGGACCCTATGAAAAAATCCTAAACCCTAAACCCTTAAGCCCTAAGCCCCTAAAGCCCTAAATCCGTAAACCCCCAACCCCCCAACCCGAAACCCTAAACCCGAAACTCTAGAACCCAAAACCCTAAACCCTAGAACCCTAAACCCGAAACTCTAGAACCCTAAACCCGAAACTCTAGAACCCTAAACCNNNNAACCCTAAGCCCTAAACTCACAGAGGGTTGATTGAAGGCGGTGCGTGGCGGGTCCAAGAGCCGGATTGCGTGGGTCCTCCAGAAAGAGGCGGGGTTTAGGGGAGGTTTGGGTTGGGTTTAGGGTCTAGGGTCT